GGGACAGCGGGGGTTCCTCCTCTTCCCAGCCGCTGGCTGAACTGTTCTGCTCGCCCTGCGTTTCCCTAGGGATTCCTCTGCTGCCTGAGTCGGGCTCGTAGCGGGATGTAAAATGCTGGAGAGCGGTCGACGACCGGGGCAGACGAAGGGGTAGAGCAGCTCGAAGGCAGCCACCCCTTCCACCTAAGGCACCGTGCCCCTTGGTGCCATCTCTCCTCCCTTGAGGAGGTGGGATTTGGCTCCGCAGGTCACTGACTTGTCCTCTCCGTGACACGGCTCCTTGCTCCGTCCATCACAGTTCGGTAAAGCCATCAGTAGGCACCCGCTACCTCTGAAGCAGCTTGTGCTGCTGCGTTGCCTCTTTGATATCCCCCGTGCCTGGCACAGAACTGAGCATCTGTCGCTACGTACGGGGATGGATTTCCATAGGGCATGGCCGCTGACCCCCGGGCTTGGGAATGGAGGCGGGGAGGGGGTGTCTCTGCTGGGAGGGCACGTTCTGCCGCCGAGTCAGGCAGCCTTCGCTCTTTACCAACTCCTTGTCAGCTCAGAAAGAGAGCGAGACTTGTCTTAGCCTCTCCTTCTTGAATTTCTGACAGGAGGATGATCTGTCCCCCCCGTAAATAACACTCCTCAAACCGTCCGACCGCTGCCCGCCGCCTGGACAGGGCGAAATTTAAATTTGTCAGTCACTGTTGTGGTCTGAGCGTTACCTGAAAACGGTGAGGGGAGCATTCCTTAAGAAGAATGCGTAATGTAACGTGTGGTGCAGCCTACAGAGAACAGGCATTTAACGTTGAACAAGTTAGCTTTTTTTTTCAGCGAAAAACCAGCAATGGGAGAAGGCCTCTCCAGCTGTAGACGTCGCTGAGAGCGGCTGGACGCGATCTGGCAAAGCCCGTGAAGTGGACGTGCTGTTGAAAGTCGCGGGCTGGGGAGAGAAGCGCAGCTGCAGCTAACCCTGACGTCTGTCTCGTTCTGTAGGCACCGGCACCGCTTCCAAAGCTTGAGCTGAGTTCGTAGAACTGCGCCGGAGACCCCTTGGCACTGAGACTCTAAGATCTCTCCAGATACTCACACGTCCGTCGCCTGCTGTAAACTGGACAGTGTGAACAGCGACGGGAGCTGAACTGCAGGGATGTGAGAAAAGGAATTGTTTGGAGAAATGTTATGTTTGTGCTGAAGTAATGTGACACTTTAAGTCAAAGGTTATGGATTTCGATTGTCAGCATATGATTATGTTGTAAAAGTGATTGAACGAATCCCAGCTCTACCAGACACAGCTGCCAATGTCGGGATCACGCTGATGAGCTGCATCTTCGCTGCTGCATTTCGTGCTTAAAACCTCGTTAAATCCCGAGCGTCCGTTCTGAGTTCCGCGTAAATACCTGATGTCTTAACGCGCTTACCGGAGGGACTGCAGACAGCGGAGGCAGCTGCCTG